GAATAAAACAGCATATTATATATCCTCATTGCCCATTTGCGAACGAACATACAGTATTCAATGATAACATATTATATACCAGCTAATATGTTGGCAAAGCATGTTTAACAACCAGTATCTAGTTAACAAAGCCTAGCGAAATCCTCCACAATATCTGAATCCAAAGACTCAATTCATTCATTCCTCTAAAAATATAAACTCCCATTTTCATATTCATACTTATTTAGATTTTTTAGCATTCTGAAGATTTCATTCTTGCGTATTATTGAATACATAGATATCAGAAACAGTCAGAAAGCATCCAGTGTTGTAATGGGATGCAGCGTGTTTGGATGCTCTTGAAGCTGCTGTGTAAATCCAACACCCTCATTTCATTCAAATCAGTTCAAAGCAATTAGCACCACTGCAGAAAACATCAGCTCGCCATCATCGCAGAGATTTGCACTGTAAATGCCAGGAAGCAACACATCTGCCAGTCCTGTGAATTTGATTGTAATGTCAACAATGTTTGATTTATTAAAAGCCTTAAAGGAGAGAAAGCCGAGCCGGTCCTGACTGACTGCTGGCCTCAGTGGCAGCCGCAGTGGAAGTCTGCGCTGGGGTCGAAGAGCAGCGAGTCTCGGTTGTGGTTGTGCGGTAAGCAGTCGAGGTGATACCAGGCGTCGCAGTCGTCACACTGGATCCACTGCACAGTGTCCTGCTGTGGAAGACGACAGTGAGCCGCTGCGCAGGGCTCCATGCCCTGAGCCACCGCCACCTCTTCATCTTCAGAGGATGACGATGACGAGGAGGAGGAAGAGGTGGAGCTAGAAGAGGATGAAGAGGGAGACAGCAGAGAAGGCTGTGGCAGCGGGTGTTTTCTAGGCCTTCCACGTCGACGCCTGCACAGAAAAATCAGTAATATCATGCATTAATAAATGCAATTAAATCAAAATATACTGATTTGAATGACTTTATATTTATAAATTATATTTTCATACTATATATTTTCATACTTCATACTAAATTTTTGTTCTTTAAGAAAATTTTTTTTTTTTTTTTAAATTTCCATATATTATTCAGGCTTGGAAGTAAAAGCAATTTTATTTCAATGACTTAATTTTTATAAGATTTTTTTTTTTTTTTTTTTTAGAATATCTTTATTTTAGAATAATGATTAATGATTAATTTTCACAAATTGTCCAGGCTTAGAAATCACAAATTCCCTGATATTAATTACAAAATATATTCTTATTATAAGTGTTACTGACTTTAAATTTTATATAAATATTTTTTTCTAATATATTTAATGTTTATTGTAGAATTCCCTGAAATTCCCTGATATTTTATATTAATACAATTAATTATAAAAATATACACAATATTAGAAATATGAATGACTTTAAATGTTATATACATATAATATAGAATAAAATAATATCAAATACTACAAATAATCTTTATTGTAGAACAAAGATTTGATTCATTTCCATACATCTCAAAATATATTCACTATTATGAATAAGAATGACTTTAATGTTATATTTTTATTTCTTGTTTTTAGATACATTTTCATTTTTCTATAAAATAAAGGTTTTATTCATTTCAACATATTTTTCAGGACTTGAAATTACAAATTCCCTGATATTTCATTTTAATAAATGGAATAATGAATTTGAAAAAATATACTATCACAAATATATTATTTAGTTTTATAATATTTATAATATAATAAAGATTTTAGAATAAAGATTTAGTATTAATAATTTCTATACATTTTCCAGGCCTGGAAATCACAAATTCCATAATATTTCATATTAATAAATACAATTAATTAGATACTCACTATTAGAAATGTTAATGCCCAATATATTTCTTTAGTTTATTTTAGAATAGACATGTGGGCCTCAGAATCACAAAATCCAGTTTTTTTTCTCCAGGTTTTTCAAGTATCACTCACCCAGTTGAGGCCTGAAAGCGAGAAATCACTCCCCTGGTCTTCTCGGTCTTGCTCATCCTCGCTGACGGGGAGGTCAGGTTGTAATTCTCACTTCCCATTCTGAGGGTGGTGAATACGGGGGAGCTGATTGCCCTCGGCCTCCTGCCAGGACCAGACAAGCAGGGCTTCTGCTGGCGGAGGGGCGTCACACTGATGCCGTTGCCTTTGGTGTGACTCGATATGTTCACGATATGATTGAACTGCCGGCTGGGCGGCACATTGAAAATGCTGCTGCTGGTGTGTTTGCTCACGTCAATCTGTGACCGGCAGTTCTGCTCCAGTTTGGGTAGAGGGGGCTGAAACACCTCCGACTCTGATTTGTAAAGCCGGCGTCTTTTCTTGGCTTGTCCCCTGCGTCCGTCCTCCAGGTCTCTGCGGTTCGTGGGATCGTCCGAACTGTCGTCCTCCAGCAGAACCGTGTGGGCGGACTTGCGTCGGCTCTTTGAGGACAGAGGGACAGACTTGGATGAAATCTCGCCAGCGGCCTGGAAAGGAGGCGGAGTCGTGGGCGGAGCCAGAGCGGTGAACGCTGGCGTGTTTAAGATGCTTGTGTTTTCGGTCTTCTTGAAGGTCCAGCAGCTGCCGTTCATCTTGCTCAGGCTGCCGATGGAGTTGAGGATGACCGTGGCTCTGTTGATGGACAGCTTTGAGATGTCCAGAGCTGGGTCCGGTTTACGGTCCGAGCACGTTCTGATCCGGTTCTTTATGTCGGATGAGAAGGAACCCGCTTTGGGCACAGTGATGGCATCAAAGTCCAGCGGACGAACCCGTACTTTCTGGAAGAGGAAGTAGAACTCTGGACTAGCCCGTCCTGATTGGCCGCCGATGGTGAGCGTGTCGCCATCAAAGATTTCCTTTAAGACCCCTTGTTGGAGGCGCATGTCATTTACCCACGTGCCTGAGGACAAAAGAGAAACTTTTAGAAGAGATTTTATATTCTACATTGGGGTTCATAATAAAGAATGCAACCGTGTCGGACATGTTCACATAGAAATACTATTTAGGCTATAGAGTTAAAGCAAAACATACTTTAAAAAATAATAAATTCAGCAAGATTATATTAAATATTGCATTTGAATTTCATATATATATATATGTGTGTGTGTGTGTGTGTATATATATATATACACATAAATATTGCATTTTTGAATTTCATATATATATATATATATATATATGTGTGTGTGTGTGTGTGTGTATATATATATATACACATAAATATTGCATTTGAATTTCATATATATATATGTGTGTGTGTGTGTGTGTATAAATCATCAATAAAGGTTATCGATATTTATATCCATGTATATACATATTTTGTACATATATTATTCAAATATAAAGACATATATATATATATATATATATATATATATACTA